ATACTCTAGAATATTTTTAACAACTATGTCTTAAAATAAGTCCATTTCCACGGGCAAAGAAAATGATTTGTTTTGAGACTCTGAACACGGCACTGGAAGGACTCCGAATTTCCTCTCCGTGTGCCGAGGACACCTGCCTCCAGTCGTGAGAACAAAAAAGCGTAGTCATAAAGAGGTGGGCAGCTATTAAATTAGGTAGCAATTAGGACTGGTACAGGAACCAAGGAAGCCAGAAATACATAAAATATTAGCAGATTTACATATCACCCCTTCTGACCTCCCTAAATATCTGCTACCACATGCTGCTGGGGCTCTGTCCCTGCCAGCTTCGTTCCGCTCTGGAAATCATACTGTCCGTTCTTGCCGTGACACGTATATGTGCACATACATGCCACTTAATCAAACAGCTTCATCATACTATATAATGTACTGTATTCACTTTGGGGAACGTTATGTGAATACGGATTGGCAAAATTTGGCCCATATTCTTACTCTTACTAATTGCAATTTACTTCAGAAGCAGACCCACTGATTCTGTTTTCCCAGCACAGCAGTTTTTCTGGTTCTCTCTTCAAAACTTTCACACACTTATTCCCGACTTGGCTGCTGATCTTCAATATTCAAGGTAATTGTTAGGTAATGAACTCTTTTAAATGATCTAGCAACTGGGAATGAGTGTCAGCCCACAATTTTTTTTTTTCTCTGAAACACAAAGTCTTTGTTTCTGTATCATTAAGATCTATTAATCTTTTTAACCCTGATTTTAACTTTTTCTAGTCATCTGTTTAAGCATCTACAGAGACAACTTAGGACTGGCATCTGAGATGACTCTTGCTGTGTCACTTTTCTTTGCCGCTGCTGTCTCAGAATGTCTCATTGTACACTTTATTGCTGGCTATTAATTTTTAAGATAGCTTTATGTTCCTTATTAACAACTTAGTTCTCAAAAGATGAAAATGATGCTGTTGCAATCACAGGTTCTGTACAAATATAACATCTGAAAATGGGGCAGAAGATTGTTTCTGAGGGATTATATTTCCTACTTAAATTCTATACAGACACAAATTTCTCATCCTTTCACCCTTGCCTATATTGTTTGGATAACACATATTTCCAATTTTTAAAAAATAAGCAAACCCACCAACCAGGGCACTACCATGCATTAGTCCAGAGGATGACGGAGGATATCTGTCTGAGTAATTTTCATGCTTTCAAACTTTCTTTTCGCCTCTAAAAGGCGGAATAAAGTAGCTCACTTTTAATGAGGAGCTGAGTGTGTGGCTTTCCCCACACACTACACAGCAACCGGGCACTTATGAGTTCATGTTCTCCCTGCATCGACACCGTATTTTGTCATTTTTCAACAGGGTTGACTTTTGCCCACAACGCTGGGCACTTTCATATGGTGAAGTCTCTTGGCTGCCTCATTAACTCTGAATCGGTGTGCACCCTTGCATTTTACTGTATCATTTCCTCCAGCATTCATTATGCTGCAATTTAAACAGCCTCTGGCTAGAAACTTCTTAAAATGTCATGATGAAATTACTTTCTCGACAACATACAAGTCAATTATAATGTAATTAAAAGATATACTAATCTATTCCCTTGTTTGGTAATGGTATCTTGGTTAAGATCATCCAGTGCATATTTGTATGGTATTTGTGAAATCTTTTGCTATAAATTGTAAGCTACTGTCCACAGCACCTGTTTTTCTGTGAAAGACCCAGGAATTATAATACCTGTTCTCTTCTAGCTTTGCAAACACAAGGAATTGAAGTGGTACAAGCTGTTTTGAATCCAGGGTCTCCACTTTTCAGTGCTTGACTCCCCAGGCATTTCAATGGGTTTTTTTGTCATTAGGCTGGGAGGATTTGGAAGAAACCTGGCACCTAGAAGGCGTACGCTCTCGCCTGGCTTCCCTCCATCATACCGGCCTCCTGGTTTTCAGCACGAGGCTCTTGCATATCCCTCTGCAAGGGAAGAGTTAAGCTCCCTTGACTTCACTCTGCTCCCTACCTTTACCCTACTCCCTTTCTGTCCCATTTTCCCCTTTGCTGCAATGTCCGTCTTCACCACCTCTGCCTGTACCAGCCAGGCCCTCTGTCCTTCCCCACCACTTGGCAAATGGGTAAGGACCCGAAGGCAGCATCCTACTGTGCCAGGCAGCAGAGCCAAGGAACTCCCCTGCCCCTCCGCCAGCCGTGCTCACAAAATGAGTTCCCAATATTTACGCCTTTAAACACACAGGCTCAGCGGTTCCCTTAACCCCCCCCTTCAGCCCACTCCTAAATCCTCCCACTCCCCTCTGCCTTGCGGCACCCCTCCTCACGCTCCTGCGCCCCAAGGGTTTGGGGACGAGGGAGAGGGACTTGCCAGGAAGGAGAAGGGGACAGGCTACACTTGTTGGGAGAAGAGAGGATGGGGCTGAAGGACAGGGGACTGCAGAAGGTCCGGACCTTCAGGGACAGCAGCAGCAGCCTGAGGAAGCTACTCCTGCGAGAATCAGAGCCCATCGGGTTGGTGGTGCATCAGGAGGAAACTAAATACTCATCAGGTTGACGTTACGCAGCCTGCCCCGTGTTCTGCATGACAGCAGCGCTAACGGGTTTCAGCAGCCCTATGCTACTCCACATACTTGCAATTCAACATGCTGCCCAGAGTGATACGCTGAATGCCAAAAGTAAAATAAAGCTTATGCAAATGGGTACCGAACAATGTTTAAGTGAAGTGCCCTGTATTCTTGATCACTTTAAAATATTTTTATTGTTACTATGTAATGTCAACATAAGGCAAAACCCCCCCAAAATTAATCCAACAGCTGCATACAAGCTGGATTTAAGTGAGCTTTCCCCGCAAGCCAATGTGCATCGTATATGTTTGTCTAAAATAAACTGTTACAACAGCCCCTTTGCAATTGAGACGAGGGTGAAGAGTTGTAAGACATCTTTTGTCACCATCTTCCTTCTAGGGCCAAATCTCTTAATTTACTTGAGCTTCAGCTTTTTTGTCTTTAAAACAGAGATAACTTCTGCCCGCAGTGATGCCATGATGCTAATCCATCTGGTATTTGCCAACACACGGAAGACTTTGTTCTAATAAGTGAGATATACAGAAAGCAGGACGCCACCAACTGATGCTGTCTATATTCTTCCTCACAGTCCTACCCGGTTTCATTTTTGGCTAGAAAAGTAGGTCAAAACACTGAACAATAGTTGTTTGAGGGCGAAAAGCAACTTTTAACTTATTTGGGTATAAACATCCTTCTTTTTCCAAATCAGCACTCTTAAAATGGACAGGCAGGGTAACTGGGGACTCTCCAGAGGCGAGTGTGAAGGTAGCGTTTCTTCTCGACCTCTTCCTTAATCAGCGAAGGTTCAATACAAGAGGAATAATTGATGCGGCCAGCAATTCATTCTTGCTCGGGAAGCCCTGGGGGAGAATTTTAATCATGGAAAGCTCACCTTCTTCTGGGACATGCTAAAATGGGGGGGTGGTTCCTTCTGAATGCCTTTGGGGCAGATTACAAAGCAAAGCTTGGATGCCCATCTTGTTCTCGGCACACACTTTGCAGTTCTGGGCAGGACCTCTGGCTGTGGGCATACGCTGCCCCTGCAGCTTCCCCCTGCCACGGACAGTCATTACTTTCTTTTCATTAATTGGTCTTAATGCATGCATGCATGCACATCCACAAATCAAGCGACCCGCTGCTGCGAGTACAGCAGTTTTGGCTTGGAAGTCTTACTCGCCCGGCTTTGTAAAGCCAGCAGCCCACTACCACCAGCACCGGCTTTGCCCCAGCAGGAGCAGGAGTATCCATGGGGTGTAAGTAAATCGGGGGGAAATGGGGGGGGGGGGGCACAGCTTTCCCCAGCAAGTTGCAGGGGTTGTGTGTGCCGATCGCAAACCGAGGCAGCCGGGGCGGTTAGCTGGCGTTTCTGGAAATGAACACACCGGCACAAACAGCGTAATGAAGGTGATATAGTAATGCTGTACCGATGTCAATGAAACATTACCATCAATTTAAGCAGGCAGTATGGCTGATTTATAAGCCAATATATAACCCAAAACAGCACAGGAGATGTTTGGAAAAACAAGTATGTGAAATAGGCATGACAAATAGAAAAGCTTTATCAAGGGATGATTTCTGCGATATCTCTCTCCTAGGACAGCAATATTTTAACACCCTCATCCAAACAGGAACACAGATAAACCGGCTGTAAACTTGTCTCGTTACCCTGTGGTTGGCAGAAACGACCGATGATTTTTGTACAGGAACTTATACCTCTGACTGGGGGCTGCTAGGGGAAAGCAGTCACCTTACAGGTTACTTTGGAGGGACTAATCAGAGGGATAAAACTAGTCTGTAATAAAAACAGTCATCTGAGCAACCCATTCAATCCGACTGATTGGGATTCTTACAGGAAATACTTCAGCACGCTATCTGGTAATGCAAAACAAAATAAGAAAAAAAGAGTGAGGGGGGGAAAAGTCTTCGTGCCTGACCTGTCACCTAAGGCTGATGAACTCCAGTGCAAAAGCTGAAGGAAATTAAGTGCTAACCTGTGAACAGTTCAACCAGGCAAAAGTGAATATGCAGTTGGCATTTACATTAAAAGCTCTAGTCTGCACATATGAGTCTCCTCATTCCCTTTAAAAAGAACATTTTTTCACCAAAAAGGCCTCAGCCTTATCTACCTAACACGGGCGGTGGTTTTAGGTACTGTGCTACACACTCAATTTGGACACTTAAAGCTCTTGGCTCATTCAGATCGTGAAGTCAAACTAGTCAGAGATAAAATCAATTAAGTTTGGCAAAATCACTTTTAAGGTGCCCTGTGTTTTTCCAATTATCACTACAAGTGTCCATAACGGATTATATAAAAAAAGTATTTATGAACTTAAGTGCTTAATGTATCCCATCTACGTCTATCTCCAGCCAGGGCTGACAGTCACGATCCTCTCAGCACAGTAAACACGCCGGGATACCATCAGCCTCCTACCTTGGCTCCATCCACACTGATAATCCGATAGCTGTTTCTCGTGCTGTCATAGAAGTAGGAAACAGTTACAGCCTGCTTGCTTGCGGGAACCCAGTTCTTCTTCGTGCTGGGGTCAATTTGGAAGACATGGGCTCTGGTGGTGAAGATGGGCTGTTCTCTGGAATAGGGAGGGACAGGAGAAATGGATGCATGAGTCTGCGGAAGATGAAATGTCCCAGAAGCCCAGCCTTGACCAGGCGTGTTGAAAGCACAAGGCAGAGAGCGCCTGGCAAACCCCCAAGTGAAAAGGCAGAGCGGTGACGCTGCCGAGCCACGATCCAGCCTTGGGTACCTCTGCTCGGCATCGCTAAGTGACATTCAGCGCCCTAAAGTTACTGCCGTAGCCCAGGAAGCAATCGGCTTTTTCCCCCCCATGTTATACTAACTCGGTACCCACCTTTTCCTCCAAACATTTATTTCCAGGAAAGGACACTCACATGCATACTTTCTTTCCCCATCCACATATTTTGCCAAAAGCAACAACGAGCCCCCCATGGCTGGATTTCCTCCTGCCGCGCATTCCTGTGAACCGCTACCTACAGCCAGGGTTCCTCTCTGGATGCACCAAGGGCTCCAGGGACCTACAGGCACGGTATAATTACTGAAATATTAATCTCTATCCTTAGAATCCCACTGTTCTGTGGATGCGCATGAAAATTTAATCAGATGCAAAACCAGTCAATCATCCTGGGGAGCGAGGGGGAAAAGAAACACAACCAAAACCCTGTGTTGATATATATTGCCTTCCAGCTCAGCTCTCAGTGGACGACGTACTGCCCCTGACACCCCGATCCTAAACACCAGCCCTCCTCGGATGCTTTTTCTCATCAAGAAAATTATGCACGCAGCGGAGGGGTTTTGTTTTACCTTCAGCACGTGACAATGCAAATCACATGTAAAAGCAGAGAAGATGCAGGACGAAAAGAACAAAATGTGATACACACAAAGTCATCTAGGTTGAAGATCAGCATTAAGACTTACTTAAAGGCCATAAAACTAAATTCACTTCCAAATATACCTTAAATCCAAGTTTAGAAGTAGAACTGAACTGCAAATCAAGCTCTACTGTGCTTTTATATACATTTTTATGCTTCTAGTTCTTAAAAGCTACAGTATATAACAGTCTATATTAAGTGTACCACTGAATATATTCTTATCACATACAAAATATTATCTCATGAATAGTTGCTTTTGACAGAATTATGACAGGATTCAAAAACAATTGTACTACAATAGAATTACCGCCCAAAAATGTTTACCACATGGAAACTGAAAAGGCTGCCAGGATGAATTTTGCACAAAGCAAATGAAAAGAGGTAGGTGAAAGGCCAGGGAGATCTCTCGCTCTCATATGCTATTCTTTCCTAATCATATAAATAATTCTCTTCTATTATTCTCGGCCCCATAGTTTTGGAACTGTTTTCATTAAGATTTCTATAATCTTCAGCGCCTTGTATTTTTAGAACAGATCAACTTGAGGTACTGTATACAGGAACTGTATCAAACATCACACATGATCTTGACCGTTGCAGTTAAATTAAAATCGAGGGGAGTAAATTTACAAATATCAAGCAGACAAAGTGATTTAAGTGTAGAATTAGCTCAGGAAAGATGGAGTGAGCTTGCAAAGCCCAGCAAGGCCTCAGGAGGGAGAAAATGAAACGACGGTTTTCTCCTTGCAAGGCATATGCAAAGTTTTACATTTTTCCAGGGGCTGCCATGCAGGTTTCTGGATGGACAGCTGTGCTGAACCCTGTAAAATCCTTGCATGAGATAAATTGAAATTACAATGGGACTGTTGTGTTACAGCTGTGAAAGAGTAGCATTTGCTTCAGCTCTTCCTTATCAGTAACTCACCGAACCTGACTCTCATTTCACACGCTAAAATCGGTGCTGTCCTCAGCTGGGAGGAAAGAAGGGGCAGGTCTCTGCAACATTTTTAAAATATTTCCATCATCCATTACACAGGATTAGCAGTGTAACACCCACGAAGGTCGTGGAGTTTGTTTGCAATAAGGAACGCAGGGAAGGGAAGTTTCCCCCAAGCTGCTTACTCTTTTACTCTAAAAATACGTACTTTCCCTGCGTGAAGAATAATTTTGAATTTATTTCACCTTTTACTTAGCTTTATATTTTTAGTGGATTCTACTAATAATTGTTTTCGCTAACGGTAATATGACCGATATATGGCAGTCTAAACTTTCAGAATTTTCCTCCACGCAAACCTATTTCACAAACAACTTTAACTCCGTTAACTCATCTTAACAATACCAGAAAACACTGTTAAAACTATGCCTGGCCTCTCTGCAGCAGGAGCAGTAAGCATATAAAGTAAATCGGGAGATAATAAAAGTAGAATGAAGGGAAACACTATCTATCTCCATTTTTCAGGAGTCTTGTAGCAGCTACCGTTGTCAACAGGAGCTGTATACATGCATCCAAGTGGATAAATTAATAGATAATGAAGCTCAGAGCTTGAGATAGCCATCTAGCCGTTCATGTGGGGCTTTTATTAAAAAGTAAAGGCAAAACCTGACTATGTTTCTAATCCTTATGATTATTAAACCAAAAAAAAGTGCATTTTGTCTTCCTGGGTTCAAACAGCAGCCCTATCGCTCACAGTGATAGGGTGCTAGTTGATAAATTATTTAAAAAAAAAAGGAAATGTGATGTGTAAACTTAAGCATTTTAACTCATTCAGGATAAGTGAGCTGTTGCCCTTCCGTTGAGACTCACATTTGGAAGAGGCAGGAGGTTGCTCTCCACATATGCCTTTGACCTTTCTGCCACAGGTGGCTCTACAAGGCAGCAAAGCCCCAGGACTGATTTTGGACCCCCTGGGGCAGACGAAGCGCTCCCAGGACACAACCTCCTGGAAGGATTTCCCAGTGTTGGCTCGTAATAATTAAGAAAAGAAGATGCATTTCCGTGGCCGTGCCTGCCCTGCTGCCGCACTCCCGGCTGCCGAATCCACCTGCAGGTCTGCGCTCGGCTGTTACCCCAAGGAGCCCAAACCCATCAGCCGGGCCCGTGAGCCGGCACCACCGGCACTGGGAGCCGGTGCCACCACGCTTTCCCTCACACCATGGCGGGTTGGCAAAGCCAACAGCGTTGACAAACTAACGCGTTGGGCAACTCCGGGGGGTGGAGTTTTAAAGGTGGGGGGGGGGGGGGGGAATATCCTCCTTCATTGCATCCCAAACTCCTTTGACCAGTGGAGCACACACAGGCAACTATAAAATTGTTGCACTCAATTTTCAAATGAAATGCTGAATTAGACACTTTTAAAACACTTACCACAGCCTTACAGAGCTCCAAATTGAGAAGGATTATTCTACGTTACTCACTTGCAACTTTTGACACTCAAGAAAGCATTCTACTGATAGAGGAATGACTTTGTTTTCCAGGGTTTCTGCCCTTTTCAGTTTACCAGAGACTTATCAAGTTTTATGCTTAAAACAACAGCACAGCTGACCTGAAATTCCCACAGCACACCCCGCGTCGTTCGAGCCCCCATAAGCTGGTTGTTACGAGAGACTGCCAGTTTGCCCGGGGAGGCAGGGAGCAGTGGCGCTGCCAGCCGGGCTGCGGACTCGTAAATCAGAAGACAAAGAGAATTTATGAATGTTTAAAATCTCATGAATTTTAACCAAAGTTGTTAATGATTGATTAAATAATCTTAAAAAAAAAAAAATCTGTTTAAAAATCAATTTGACAGTAACATCCACTGTCTAGAGTAAAACTGCTTCAAAAGTAGCAAATGGAGACCTAAATTACAGCTAATAGTTCTTTGTTTAATAATACAGATTAAGACAGAAAACGCACTTTGATAAGCTTTTTTTATTATTAAACATGGCCAGCATGTTTTATAAATATGATTGCAATTTTCAAGTCCTGTTCTTACGCATTTAGTTGACTTTTAATTTCCGTCCTTGTGTCATACGAGACAAATCTCAAGTAAAAAACAATCATTCTCCATTAATGTAGAAATATGTCATAAGCCTTTCCTGAAGAATTTAAAAAGCAAAACCCAAGACCCTGGAGCTAACTAACTGCATCCACAGCTGTGTGAGATACAGTATCACCTTCTGGTTAATATATGACCATGCCAAATTTTATAAGTGTGTGACTAGCTGCAAGCCATGTGTTTTATATTACTCTTCCTAATCAACGGGAATGAGCTCTCACTTAGGAACAGTTCAAATTATTGAATTCAAAGTTCCTTGTGTATCATCTGAATCATGAGCACAACCAGTGATTTAAATCACTTCAGCTGTGAAGAGCCTTTGCTGACTGGCAGCCAGCACTGTAAGGGCTGTGGGATACCGGTGGCTGATGGAGCCGTGGCACGGCGAGCCCTGGCTGGGCGGCCAGCCGGCACCTGGGAGAGCCCTTGCCCCCGGACCCCAGCCACGTGCAGGGCCACGTGGAGCCGGCTCCGGCTCCGAACAAGGCACTGATGGTGGGAACGCTTCTGCACTGGAGCAATCTTTTTTGGTCGTAAATACAACACAGTGACTCATGTGGGTGCCTGCGTGATCGGCGCCCAAGTTCTTTTAAACGTGCAAAGTGTCCAGTGCACATCGGGCGGACGCGCTGACCGAGCAGTAAATAGAACAAAGCGGCTCCTTTACTTGTTGTAGGCTCTGGAACATCAAACATATTTGTAACAGGAGTTCTGTTACCACCAGAGGCAAAACCACTGTTGGCACATTTTGCTAAAACTTTCATTAACAGATCACATAAAATTTCTGGGATAAGGATTCCTAGTTTACAGGACAGGATTATTTGTGCTCTCCCCACACCAATACTAGACAGCTTTGCACTAACTGCCTAATTTACCAATCGGAATAAATATATTTTTTAAAAGAACACGTCCTCATATAGCTGCCATTTGGTGGAGGATGCACATGCCTGCAAGACAGCGCGTCAGCGTAGTTTTTGGAACGTGGTGCTTCCTGCTACAGGCCAGCGTCACGCACACGCTGGGGTTTATACTACCTGACAGCGCCAGCAGATCTGCAGTGATTTGCTATAACAAGCATTAGCTAATGAGGATCTTTCAAGAAAGAAGAAGAGTAGGTACGAACGCAAAATCCTACATTGTGACACACCCCCCAGCACTGATCACGATACAAAAAATTTTAGTTGCCAAACGCAACGTGATAAACTTGGTGTCAATAGTTATTTGGATTGAGCATCGCTACTACTGCCTGACAGTGCAATAACAATTAGTTCTTTGAACTAATCCTTTATGTCTGTCTTCACACGTAATGTAGTTTGGAGTGCCATTTGTATTTATTTATGATAATTCAAGAATAAGCAACGCTGCTGAAAAGCGGAGTGCTGTCCCCACAGCACCCCTCCCCAGGCATGGCCAGCTGCGCACGCACGGCTCTCCCACCGGGCCACCCGGCACCCGCCCTCGACTCCTGCGCGAAAGCGGGACGGTAACGACGCCAGCTCCCAAAGCCACCGAGCACTACCTGTGCCTC